TCTCTCTCTCTCTCTCTCTCTCTCTCTCTCTCTCTCTCGCACGGAAAAAAAAACAAAAATCGGTTCATGATTAATTTTAACTCCCAGTTATTAATCCACTTAATAAGTTATTAAGTACTTATGCTGTTATTAAAAAATATCTTGCATATTGATGTTATAATACATAAATGATTTTTTTATGTCATATTGTTATTTATTCAATAATTAAAAATAAATAACATTTCAATATGAATAATATAAATAATTTCATAGTCATATATATGCAAAAATTAATACATATTTAAGAAATGATCATCATAATTGATATTGTTAAGAAATAATACCTATGTTAGAGAAAAATTATTCAGCTCAAGCATTTTACTGCTTTAGCAAAAAATCAATAAAAAGTAATATATTCATCTGCAAATGCTTTTTACATCAATAATTATAAAAATATTGTATATACGTTGAATTGATTATTTTTGATCGTTTGTGTATCTACTGTGGCGATAAAACGTTTAAACTTTGTAAGAGCTCATTTCTTTTCTAAGTCTCCTGTTCTTTTGAGATCACCTTCATTTGATTTTTTCGATGTATTATGTTAACGAGCCACTATAATCATTTATTTTTGTGATTTGTTATTTGTTATTATTATGTTATTTATTATTTTTTTTGCTAAACTTACTTTATCTATGGAATGTTATTTTTATATTCACCCTTGCGAGTTTATCCCATAATTTTCAGGCGACTGGTGAATAATTAATATTCTGTACAATAAGATATACAGAATGTGTCAATAAATGCGTCGCTGAATTACGAATCGATATAATGAGCCGATATGTGTGCAAGTACATACCGGGAAGGGATATACACAATAAATCTACAGATAAATGTACACACATTCCAGGATTAAATGGTAGCATTTATCTATTCTAGCCGATCCATTTGTAAGTATATGTATACTGGATCTATGAGCTACACTCATTGGTAATATTTCATATTCTAAAATTTATATATACACATCTATATAAATATTTAATAATTTTTTTCATAGATTTATTAATTCAATTAAAGAATTATTTTATTTATATACCAATCGTGGTAGCGAAATTGAAAATACGATGATTTGTAAAAAACGCAAATATAAAATCTAAATTGTAATATATAGTATTCTGAAAATTAATACTGCTAAAAGTAATAACTGCTAACGTTGAATTTTTTTACTTTCTTTCAAATAGATATTTAATATAATGTAATTTTTTTTCGAAAAAATGTCTTCTTTTTTCTTTTAAGTGTATATATAAACTGTTATACATATAATATCATATAAATAAGGGTTTTTATTCCTTTCATTCTTATTCGTGAATTATCCAAATAATCGGTTAATTAATAAAAATAAACAAAAAATAACGACTAATTCCGCAAGTAACAAGTAATATATAATAATAACAATATTTTTACCTTATGGTGTTTCCGTCGTCACTCGATGCCTTCCTGGATCTCCTTTTCACTTGGGGGAGTCCTTTTTCTTGTTTGTAGCACCCATGCGATAAAACTGTAATTTACAGTCACGCATTAATTATTAAAATATAATATAATATAATATTATGTGCGCGATATTTTACGTAACGTTTCCGATATTAATCGCGCACGATGCGTACGCTTTATTGTATCGTAACGATATTATGTATTACAGAAAAACGCTGAGAAAATATAAATATGATCATATACATATAAAACTACGACTCACGTGTATTGTCATATTTCATAAATTAATGTACAAATTTCGTGAAAAAAATAAGTATTTAATAATCATTGCTTTTTGTTATATGTATATTGACTAAATTCGATAATACATTCCTTATTTTCAATACTAAAATGACACTCGAATAAACCTTAAATATTAAAAATCTGAAGCGCAATGCCAGTTACATTCGAATTTATGCTTTTATAGAAATTCCATTCAATATTGGAATAAAGGTAACAATTAATTACTTATTTTGAGCATTAAGGCAATAATGATGATCAAACAATAATGCTTTCAATAATTATTAATTAATCACTTTCAATATCAAATGTCTGTACGAGAAAAATATATTCATCGCTACATATTATAATGAAACAGTTTTACAACTCCCGTTGTCATAATTTCTACCGACGTGTCTATACCTGACAAGTAATCGACATTCAGATACGTTTTTGGATCGTAAAAATTAAATCGCGACAGATAATAAATAATACAATAGCTAATCATCCATAATAAGAAAGGCTTTTGCCGTAGAATTTGCTTTTCACACGCATTCCTAGCAATAACGATACGACGATACGTGGAACAGCTCATGGCTTTATCCTACGCACTTGATGAGTCGCGCGTATAACGCAGCAATCTATACATGCCTAGCACGCGGTAAACACATCGCGGTGTGTGTAATACAAACAATTACCTACGCCACGCGCACGCCTGTCTACTTTCGTCGGTGTGTATTTTTAAAATACAACGGTAAATATACAGTCTGAACTTTATGTACCAATTAAGCTGATTTCAATGAACGGACTATCGTTATGCATTACAAGCTTCACTTTCAATTATTATTAATGTTGCGTTAGATGACATTAGGATAATAATTAATTCCATTTGACTAAGAATTTTTTTCAATCAAAAAAGAAGATTAAATAATCTACATCTAATACAAATTTGCTGTTAACAAATAATATTAGTCAATTGCTTTAATGTAATATCGAAGCAATAATCATTCACATATGAATCAGCTGTGTGAACAGTGAAAATCAATAACAGATATTTAGGTAATACATGTATATAAGAACATGAATTCTACGTAATAACATCATTGCCTGTAATTTGAAAATTATTGTTTATAATTATATGATGTATCGATATTTATATATTATAATAAAATAATTGATTTTAATTAATATCTGAAGTACTATCAAAGAATTTTACACACACACACACACACACACACACACACACATATGAAATTTTAATAGAATTTTAATATTCTAAAAAATCTAATTTGCGTTTTCACATATTCATAAAGTTAACATAGAATTAAATTTAATTTTATACTGCAATAAAATTATTATAAATATTATACTAACTTTCCAGAACTGACGCCAAAATCTGTAACTTGGTTAAAATGAAGGAGAATGAAAGGAATTGCAAATATCGGCGAAAAGTTAAATATGGAAAAGGAAAACCATGATTACTTTTCAAATAATAGAAATCTTCGTTAAAAAAGTATTCAAGTTATTTGGCTTTACACTACAATAATTAACATTTATATATTATTATACGTACATATATATAATACATGTATATGTATAATATAACATAAGTTAAAAATTAAAAAAACGAGAACCTTGTCGTTCGAAATTATATCCACCGTGTCGTCAAGCGAGACAATTCTGAATCGCATTTGTTTTTTGCTTAAAATTTTAGTTTATATTAATAATTTATAAATGTTAATTATATTGTAATTTAAAGCTAATATTTTAATAAAGACTTCTGTAATTGATAAATAACCGGCTATATTAAAATTTTCCCTTAGGTATTCACCTGCAATTTTCCTATTTTCCCCCATATTGAAAATAATATTTACTTTAATCAGTGTGTGCATTTTATGGTCACGTGTAATAGTACGATATTAAACACAATATTGGACTATCATTAGATGCGAGAAATGAGAGGTTATTACTACTCTAATATACAGTAATATTATAGTATTGTTTGTATTTACCATATGTTAGCAATTCCCTTATTCTACCCTACCTGCTATTGCTGGATTTGTAACCGATTTAATTTATGTTTATGAAAAATAATGTTACAATTATTGTTACATTTTCCCAGGTCAATTCATTTGTTATATATATAAATGAATAATTTATTACATATATACTTATATCATCAAATTATTGTTTTAATTATTAGTTTAAAAATAAAATGATTTTTTCTTTAATCTTTTAATTTTGTAGACTTATTATATAATAACAATAAATTTATACATTATATACATTTTATATTGTATAACAAATTTATATGTTATACATTTTATCCTAATATTTCTGCAAATTCCGGTTAATTAGCACTATGCGTCCAAAACATAAATTGCAAACTCACGCAAGCGAAAATAATTCTGTATTTCAGTATTTATCCTTTGCTGGAGTCCATACATAGTCTTCGACCTTCTTCAAGTTTATGGGCATATACGAAAGACTCAGACAAATATTGCAGTCGCTACCTTCATACAAAGTTTAACACCACTCAATTCGGCCGCTAATCCAATCATCTACTGCCTTTTCAGTACACCTTTCTGCAAAACCGTACGGTGAGTATGTTAATTAAACACTGATGATTATTTCATATAATCTAGTACAATAAGTAATCCTGTTGCGTTTAAATTTTATTTATAATAATATTATACAGATTTATTAAAAACTTTAAAAACGCTTTTATCAGGGACTATGATAAAATTTTAACTGTAAAATTCTGTTTAGAAACAATCAGAACAGAAAATAGAATGTTTTAACTTTCTAAACGTCTCAAGTTTCATAAATTTAAAATAACATCGGCGAAGATGGCAATTCTCTAGCAACATTTCCCTAGCAATTTTTCGCCTCAGAATTTCTCCGTTAAACAGCAATTGTTGCTCGGTAGGAACATGCAGGCAATCTCCTGGATTTCGGGTTGGTGCCCGACGAATTCGCAACACTGCTTTGGTACCGGGGCGACGACTAGCAGTACAAGGACAACCGTGACGACATCCTTAACGGCCCATTCCTCTCGCAGAAGCGGACACTTTACTATGTTGCACTCTACATCGCGAAAACGCGTTATGGTCTCCCTAGTTTAAAGATCGTGGTTTCCAAAAATGCGAGCGTACTCATTTCTTCATAGATTAATATCCCAGATCGATATTCGACTTAGTAGGATCTACAATTAACTCGCTTGTAATTGAGTTGATCATTATTTAGAAAACGTAAATTGACTTACGTTTTCTATTTTCTTATGAATAATTTAAACAAATAAATGATTTATATTTCGGAAAACTTTATTTAAAAATAAATAATGACCAAATATATACAATTTGGAAAAATTATGCAACCCAAATTTTCCTGTACAATTTTTCCAAAGAAACGGAAGAACCAAATAACACACGATTACAAGAAATTTCTTGAAAAGTTTCCGCTTTTGTGATATGACGTATTGCTTTTTTATATTTATATAATATATTTTCTGCAAAAATTAATTTTCACGAATTATTGATATCTAGGCAAAAATGTATAAGGAACTTCTAATAATGCGCTATAAACTTGATAACGTAACAATTATTTTAATTTAGAAATAAGATTGACTGATAATTCAGTTGACAGTTTTGAGCTGTATCTCTAACTCGATGATCACACATGATAATGTTATATTTCTATGTAAAATATATTAATTATTCATATAAATGGATGATCTCATACTACAAAATTTTACGTGACATGACATTTTATTTTAAGTATTTATTATTAGCGAAAATAAAAATATTTATGTAGTAATCATAAAACATTTCAATTTGATTAGAAACACGTAATAATAATACAATTTTGAAATTCATTAAAAATGAAATAAACTATTTAGCAAATTCAACGTTTATAATTACGTTTTTTAGAGAATATGTATACATATATATGTGTATACATATGTCTGGATGTGTATACGGGTATTTCAGAACTATTATCGAAAGTTATAAGTATCAGAAATAAAAAAAAACATTATTTACTTTGCATTTATGATCAAGTCATTATTTCCAATTTATGATTAATTAAAATTTTAATGTGGTTTAATTCCTTACAAATTAAACTGAAAAGTTATAAATACTTAAATGACAAGAAAAGAAATGATAGGAGAGAAAATAAGGTGGTTCGATCTTGTAATCAATAAAAATTTTGTAAAGACAAATGAAACAACAAAAACAGCTACTTTTTCATAATATTACCTACGATGGATCTCCTATACTATAACTTCCTCGCACCGTCCCATAACAAAGGACTGATAAAGCTAGGTCTTTTTTTATATATAGGTTAAAACGCGCAATGCAATTTTATTGAATATCGTGAATTCATTGTGCAATTACATATTTTCTGAGCTTAAAAATTACTTAAAAAATTTTCTTTATTCGAAAATGTCATAATAAATCTTAACAATTTTATATATGTATATTAAACATTATGATCGAGAAAATTATATATGTTATCTATAATATTATCTATTATATATTTCGTTCCTAATTTAAATCAATATGTTAACATTTATATATGTATAATGTTAACATATTATACTATTATATACTACTTATTTATTTTTTCCAATCATATATATGTAAACCTATTTAAAAGGTATGCAAAATAAAAAGTCATTTTCAGGAACAAGAATAGATTTCAAGAAAAAGACCAAAAATCTTATAGTTACGTGTATTTCTACTAATAAATTAAATAAATATAAATAGTTCAAGTTAAAACTTATATGTAAAATAATATAGAATTCTCGGATGTTCATTGAAATAGTTCTTATCTTAGAGATATATAAATTATTTATTTAAAGCTATTTTTTTACAGTAATATAGATTGTATTGCATTATTACAATAATCGTATTAGCTCTCTCTCTAGCTTGAATTTAACTGTAATTCAGAGCTTATTTTTTTGGTTACGACGATGTAAAAGAATATTAAAATAGTCATCATCATTTATAACTATCTTCTTCTATAACTCTTATTTTCACAAAAATTAGACTTAGGAAATTGCTTAAGTCAAAAATAGTCATAGGATAGTCTAAAATAACTGTGTATGTGTGTCAATAGTGTCATAATCATTGATATCAGTATTAGAAGGAACATTTGAAGTGCGATAATGATGTATGTGTTTCCTGTTACTTGTGCGATTTATTAATCAGATTAGATAGATTTATTTTTCAGGCTTGATCGATTGTTAAAGATATCTTTTATCCTCGTCTGCTTTTGACGTATATTTTATTTGCTTGCCGGAAGTATATGACAATTTTTTTTGTATACTTTAAGACTGTTTGAATCTGTTATGAAAATCAGTTGATTGACCTTAAGGTATGTAGTGGAGTCTGGAGTACCCTGCATATATGAATAAAAAGACAATACATTTTACGGAAAAAACAAATTTAAATTTGTAAGCAATTCTTTGTGATATACATTGTATGCATATATTTTAATGGATTAATTGTCTATGTATTTTTTATATTACCTTAACTCTTTGAAACTGATAGTGGTTTTATTGGACCCACTCAATCAATTATAAATTATATCACTGTCAAAAATATCAAGCAGTTTAATTTTTTATGTTACATCTGTGGATTATTCTTATTAAAATATACTTACAATTAATATCTATTCTTTTTTGTACTAATTATGTCTTCTTTTCCTTAAAATTAATTAACCTTTTAATTAACATAAATTAATTAATTTTCTCTTTCAGACTGAGCGTCAGTAATGAGTTACAAATATTTGCGTCCAGAGGAAAAAATTAATATTTTCTTATATTTCAAGACTTTATATTTCAGAATAAAAGATATCTAACTAGCCATCGAACAGTCTATGTGGAAAATAATACGCTCAAAGTATACGTGTACATACGCATTTAGATATGTGTATAATAACAAAAATAAACGAAACTATCGCGTGTATATATATATATCTTCGTAATGTAATAATGCACAATGGCGTGTGACATATTAATGTGTAATATATTCTTCTCACGAGAGCGCTATGACTGTTTAAAGCATCACAATGTCCTCTGCATGATCTCTCCGCGTTATGATTTACGCAGTGATCGACGACGCGCTGTTCCGGTAAATTGATCGGATTTATATGCCAGTAAATAAAATATTATAGTAGAATAAATAAAATATTTATGATAAATAGAGAGGAAAATGCTTAGTTAGATATATGTAAAAAAATGCAACAACATCCGGTTACTGAAGCATAATGTAATTCGTCCCTATTATGTTCCAGCTATTATATACAGAATATATAGATATAACAACATCACGCGTGTTGAGTATAATGTTATATAACTGTTCGATCGTCAATGTGTCTTAATATTCTCTATAGGATGAATTTCGAAAATTTTAATTAAACCTGCGCGAAACAAAAATATAAAAAAAAAAAAGAAATTATATGGCTGTCTTGTTATATAACCACTTCCAATTAGATTAGAGAGAATGTTTACATTTTGTTTACAGTGTCTAATTATGCGACGAGCGTAGATTTATCTTTTCACGTGTTCAATAACTTAGATTATTTTATAATATCAGAGATAAAAAAACATTCTGTTACCTACTACGGTTGTATGCAATGTATCACTTTATTCTTTGTTAAGACTGATTTTTGTATAAGAATTTCTTGTGCCTTTTCATTAGTTTATCGATAATTTGATGTAAATGCAAGGTTTTGTATTTAACAAGCGACAAAACATATTTCGTTTGATCTATTTGTATGCAACTGCATCAACTGTATTTAATTTGTCAATTGTATTTAAAATGGGATTTCACAGAAACACGTAGTCATATCTTCGTTAAACTATTCATTGTATTGCAGAACTAATTGTAAGATTTTCATGCCAATGCACGAATTATACTTACATACAATAAGTACAACGATGTAATATATCTTTTAAACGTGCAAATGTATAAACCGGTATGTACTCGAAATTATTAATCACATCGTATTAAAGAGGACGACATAAATTATTATGATGTAAATTATTACGCGATGTGACATTGTTCGAATACACATTGATAATGGGTACTGTTTGTAGATAAAAGTGAATAAAGCTATAAATTATTTAATTTAATTTTAATTCCGATATAATATTTTTACTCTTCTACTAAATGCTTTATTTCTTTCCCTCTTTAGTTGTAAAAATGTCCTAATAAAACATTTAATAACGAATAATTTAATATGTGTTCTATTGTAATAATGATATAATATAATAAAGAACATTACATAATTTTAATTAACTAAATTTAATATTTTATAGAAATTTAAGCTAAATAAAATTAAATCACTTTATTCTCACAACTATGCGCCTATAAAGTGTTTCATATGTTTTATTTTTGATTGTTTATACGTTATTATATATATGCGTTATTACGTGTTTTATTAATTGTTCATTATATATCACGAGTATACCACAAATACAAACCAAAAGTTTATAATTATAATTGAATTTATGTTAATATATTAATTTATATTATACATATCGATATATGTTGTAATTTATATCAATATTAAATTTATATTAAAAAAAAAGATAAAAATCAGTGTTTCAAAGTTTTTTTAATGCATCACTAATCGTTTACTTCATTTTCTTTTATATCACATACCTAATACTTATTTTGCATGAACGCGTAATAACGTCTTTAATACATAGGTATTACATGATGACGTCAAATTGCACGGATAAAACGCGACGTGTATTGTTCGGTTGAAATAAAATTTCTCCTGTTGCCTCCGTTGCCTTCACTTTTACGGCCCACATAATCGTAGCTATAAAGACCAACGGCGCCATATGATAAGTCAAATACGGCCAGAATAATCGTTTCACGCTTCTCATTTTGTACGGAAATATCTGCATCGCTTCATTTTGGTAATATTATCTACATGCACTTCATATCCAAAGAAATATTGAAATAACTTCTACATTATGTTTCAGTTAGCATGTAATTCTTAGCTAAAATTAAGTATTTCTATATTGTTTAAAGCCTGTGTATCAAACTAGAGATTGAAATTGAGATTGTATTGGAATTTGACCAATCAAACCAAAGTTCACTAAAGCTGCGATATTGGTTTTCTCTTTTCTGATTGACTAAATTTCAATCTCTCTCTATTTCACTCTCTAGTCTGATACAGGTTTACGAGCAATATATGCTTAAGGCAATATCTGCATAGAATATTTTATATAAAAGATATCATTTCTCTTAAAATAATAATTAAAATTAACGGTGTTTTTATAATTTTTATACCAAATTTACCTATTAATAGTCACGAACGCTGCTGCGAAAAAATACTAAAAAACAAAAGAAATAAAGAAAATCAGTAACCAATGGCCACGTGAGATATTTCACAGTGGAGTATGCAGCGAATGCGGCTTACATAATGTACTCTTTTCATTCTTATCCTCTTTAGCAAGAATATGTTGAGACTCGAAAGAAAGGGTTTTCGGTCATTTAGATCTGTGAGGGACCTGCCGATTCCATGACCAGCGGATTCGCAGTAATCGTTATTTACTGCTCGTGAAAGAAAGGGACGAGAAGAGGTGTCAGCATTCTGGTGAACGTCGGGGACAAAAGTGCGAAAGTTGCTTTATTCTTAATTGGAAAGGGTGGAATAAATTCGAAACGGCTGAACACGAAGAAGTCGTGTAATTCGAATACGACATAACTTTGTGTTTTTATTTTATGTCGTTTTAAAAAGTAATTAAAATAAGAAATGTGCATTCTCACAAAAAATGATAATGCGTTTGTCAAAATATGGAAAGAAAATTTTTTTCCAGAATAACGAGTAATTCGGAAAATCGGAGTGGAAAGATCACGTGAAAGGAGATTTTTATTATTCTAATTGGCATGAATGCGAAAACGTGATGTCGTGCACTCGTTATCGAATAATGGATCCACAGCAAGATCGATTGCACTTGGACTTTAAGCATCCTCACAGCTGCTATACAACAACCTACCATGCTGCCATCAGAAATCTTTGTCCCACAGTCTGCAGCAATAGTATATAATTTTTTATTATACATTTCAAGGAAACCTAATTGCATTGAGATGCAATATGCATAATAAATATAGAAGCAAAATTTACATTCCCTCCAGAGAAATTCTATTAAAACAGAATCTCTTAGGAAAAGATGTTCTAATGGAATTTCTCGCTATAAAATTTATGTATTTGATAATTCAAAAATACAAACAACAAAAAATAAAACAAAGTATATACATACTTAATTGTTTGTATTTTTAATTTCCAAATACAGTTAAAACCGCAATAAATATGAATTTTATTTATAGTTCTAGAACACAAAGGTTATGTACATTAACTAGATATACGCATAAAACATAAAGTAAAAATAAAATTGTGTATGTGATTTACAAATAATGTGAAAAATTAAGAATACAAAAAAATTAAGAACATAATTTTGATATTATATTTTCTCTTTTCTTCTTACATAAAAGATGCACAATATTCTGATTCAATATATGATGTAATAATATTTCATTTACATCAATGTTTTATTTTATATTAACCAACGTAATTTTATTTATTTTTCAGGAAGTTGTTCCAGAAATCATGTAAATTGGAAATCATCCAATTTAAACGGAAGTAACGATGAGACATATAGAGAAGGTAAAAATGTTTTTAAAAAATTATATAATTATTTTACATTTAGATAATTATTTTAAAAATATAAAATTCTAGACATAAACGTTTATATGTATAATAGGTAATTATTTTAATGCAGCAATTTTGATTTTATCATCTATATTAACAATTTAATTGCATTATTATTAATTTAAAGACAATAATATTAATTTACGAATATTAATAATATCCGATTAAATTTGATTGCAATATTATTAATATTTGCTAGTTCATTATCTAATTGTATTGCTTAGATTAATTATATTAAAAGATTACAAAATGTTGATTATATATATTTTTATTTAAATATAATAAAAATTAGTAAAAGGAGCAAAGTTTGATTAGAATAGATATAGAATTAACTTACTTATTTCTTGACCTACAACTAATCAATTTATCAATTTCTGAAACCTGTATGATACTATCAAACCGCCGTCTCTCGGTCTTGCTTTAATCGTACGTTTCGAACAATGCCGACTCAAAGCGTGTCAGTCGCAGAAGCATACGAATATTAATTTAGCTCGGAATCCCGCGACGTAGACAGGGGCGATCCGCCGTTTCCAGACTCAAACATGCAAATGGGGAGAATCGCGAGTGCACACATGTATGAATCGACGAGGCATCATGAATCAGCGCCGGTGGTGTCTTTCGAGAGAATGCAAATTCGTTTGAAGCTCTTAGAAGACAGCAACGCAACGTTGCATTTCAGAAACCGCGATCTCGTCGCGGAAAACAAGAACTTGATGAATCGGTGAGATTACGTAATTATATTTTAGCTATAAATAAATACTCCGCGTGAGATACAATTATATTCACGTTTTGATAAGTACGTTTTGAACAAGTTCCCTCAAGATAAACAATGTGCAGGCTGGAAGAAGATGCGACTAAAATGGAGAAGCTGTTAGAGAATGTGTCATTATTGCAAAGCAAACTTGATAAAGAGAAAATTAAGCTGGTTGATGTATTAGCGAAACAATCGGTAGGAACAATAATATTTATTGAATAAGAAAAATTGTTTTGAAAATATAATTAATGATATACATACGTAATAAAGATGCCATGCTGCAATATTTATACTGCATAATAAATAATAATAAATAATAACCAACTTGAGAATGAGATAATTGTGTTATTAGAATAAAAATGCAAAAAATAAAGTATATATTTAAATTTTTTCTTAAATTACATTAATTTTTCTGACTTAATTCTATCACGTTATTATTTATTGTTATAAATTTTCTCGTATTTTTTCGTTTATTATAATCTCAAGTTTTATCGTAGATATATAATTGAATTTTTATATAAAAACTTTTTTATATTGAAACTGCAATTCAAAATTAATAATGTAGAAAATATGATAATAATAATATTATAAATGTCAATATTTGCAAAAATACAAAATTCTAATGTTCCTATCATTGCAATTCGCGTGTAGCTATATAAAATATAAGAAAATTTACGCGTTTTTTCATAAAAATTTCATAAAAACTCTTCTATTTCAGAAACATGATGAGGTGTGCCTAGAAAATAAATGTACCTCCTCGACAAATATAGTTTTGAAAACAAATCGCGGATTACAGATTTGGGAAACCTGTAAAGATTGCCATGAAGAATTGGAAGGATGCCAAAGGGAATCGCGGATCTCAATCACGAAGTAAGTCCTCCAGAGAGAGATTAAAGCAGAGTGAATACATACATATATACTACATGTGTCATATTATTGCATAACTGCTTTGTATTAAGCTATATAAAATAGAATTATTAATGGATGCGAGTTATAAAAATTCAACGTTATCGATAACAAACATTCAATATATAGATATATAATTATATATACATAAGTAAGATATAAAAATAAGTAATAACTATTTCTCTCTCATTATGTAGTGTTATAATAATTCTATATATTATTTAATTTATATTAGTAATATTTTAATTATCTTCTAAACGAAGAATGTAAATTCTTTTGACAATGAACTCTTCTTCTTTTACCGAACATCAATGGCAATTGATAAGCCGATTGAATATTTTAAATAACACTCGCTTAATCTCCCTTTGTCACTGTGCCTTTCCTTTCGTGGATATATTCTGGATTGTGTTCGTAATTCGCAAATCCTCGATTAGATCGGAGTTTGAGTTACTAGAAAGGGATATGAAGACTTTGAGAGACGCCATAATCGCCCGGGAAGAAGCCTGGGATAAAGCGATGGAGCGCGAGCAGAATTGCCAACAGCAATTAACACGGTTGACCGCGGAGGTGATCACCACGCGTCACCTTTGCGAAACTCGCCAGGACGAACTTCGCGCAGTTACGGATACTTTGACGGTAATATCGATAACCGACAGTTCGATAGCATATCGGAAACAGAAACTAGAATGTTAGATTGACGTGCTGCGTGCCGTGCTATCGGGCAAATTCTCATATCGAGAAAGATTTAATTATGTAAATATTTCAGTGTAACACTATGTGTGTTACATCGTCTTATTTATACACGTGGAACGCTAAATTCGTGATATTTGATTATTTAAAACATCTGTTTGCTACTGTTAACGTGTTAATTACTAAATATCAATTAACTTAAATAATTGACAATCTAAATGTCAGTTATTCGCCAATTTAACTTTTTGGAGGGAAAAATAAAATTTTTATTGTTTTGATGAAAATATGTTAATTAAGTATAACAATAGGAATTAATATAAATAATTCGTATAATATATTTTACAGAATTATTTTAATTAATCCAGAAATATTTGTTTCGGCTTTTCATTTTTAGGAAAAAGAATCGGTGCTGAAAATAATGCAGAAAGAAACGCTATACCTGAACAAATTAATTGCGAAGCTGTACCGACGTCAGAGGTAAAAACGCTCCTTACTTACATCTATTTTGTTCATAACAGACCCACCATCCGTCTTCTTCCCTCTTTTTAAAAATTATATTTACCGGGAAATGCGATGCTGGCGCTTATTATGCGCACGGGGTGCTAGAGTTTTTATTGAAGCAAAAGATATCTTTCACGAATTCTCGAGATTGCGAGGAATGAAAATTCCAACAATCCCACTCGTTAAATATAATTCATAGCGAAGGATTCGATGCGCGATGCAAAACGCTCACGAAAACGCGAACATATGGCGGACGCGTCGCATTTCGTCGATATGGTGATCATCGGAAATGAACAAAAACTACTTACCTCGATTAATTCGTTATAACGGTCCGTCAGTCGCACACTCCATGCTCCTCGCATCCTAGGCATCCTGGGGCGTTCACGACGTTCGTCGAACGACGCCAATAACGTGGAATACTGTAGGCAAATCGTTTGTTTCGATCAATACAATGAAATGATCACGAGACGGGATTCCACTTCGAATCGACTGTTGTGAAGTTGCTGCGTTCGCGTTGAACGTAACCGCGCGCGCTTTCATGCGCTTTAATCAACAACGTATTTTAATTTCCTGTGTTATTTATTTGCTTCTACCTTTTCTTCACGACCGTTTTATCGACAATTATGTCTCTTTTTTTTGTCTTTCTTATCAACTTTTACGTCGATGACAGTAAACAAAGAAACAATAGAATAAGAACCTAAGAGGCCCATACAGTATATTTCATAGTACCTTATAATATATTCGATACTATATATATATCATATATAGTAATCTTTCTTAATATGATTGGTTCCCTACACTTTAAGTTATAAAAAGAAATTTTTTAAATTAATCTTTAGATTGAAATATTATAGATTCTCAAGTCGAATTTGTCAAATAGCAATCAAATTTCATTAAAAAAAAGAAGAACTTGAAACTAAGTTCTTCTATTTTTTATGAAGCTTATTAATTTCTATTTGATGAATTCAATTTTAGAGTTTAATTCCAATGTTAGAATTAATCAAAATGTTCTTTTCACGATTTCTGACAAGCTATAGTCTTTCTGCTGACCTCAACTTACTATACAAATATATTCCATGTAATAATGCGTTGCCCGACTTTAGGAAGCTTGTTAACTATTTCAGAGAGCTCGAAGAATACGCGAGCGGCGGTGTAAGTTTCAGCATTAGCGAGAGGGATCAAAGATGCATCGAGGAGATTGTGCGGCGCGTACGAAACTCTAAAAGCAAATCGAAAGCAAAGCCCAAGTGCACTTCAGATAAATACCCGCGTTCGAATTCGAGTAGCCCTCGCGAGAATAAGAACGGATTGGATCGGACAGGTTCCTCGGAGGATCATCACAAATTCAATTTGTAATCATCGTTTTATAAATTAACGCGTTGTTGTCTATTTACTTAAACTTACTGTACTCTCAAAATTGATAAATATACACATATGTAGATATGTATATAAGCATGTTTGTTAAATTTCTTTAGACACACTAGTACCGCGAATGTTATTCATAATCATTCTCGAGAAAAATAAATAGATATCGCATGATGTTATATCCGCAACAATATTTTTAGCTACATTAATAAATCTTTAAATTAATTCATATTCGACAGTCAAGATGTTACAATCCAACATTTATGTCAACATTCACTCGGAAACAGTCACTCTTTTTTTACATAAACAATCACTTTATAAGAGTGCACAGTCTATTCTTATTACGTCTATGATTGCACTTACATATCAGTCTTTGTGATAAAGTTAAATATAGATTCTCGTTGGAGATAAAAGAAGAAGAAATAATTTTCTGTGATAAAAGGAATGTCGCCGCTGATCGAAATTGAAATTGAAAATTGATACTCAATGAGAACTCGTACTTTAACCAGCTGGACATCGTGCACCGGATAGCGGCGAATAAATCATGCCAGTGAATCAACCTCAATGTACATTTTTCATCGTTGAACCTCTCGAATATGTGAATCAAGAAAATGCGGTACAGTAAATCGTGCATCTCCCACGTTTTGATAAATTGTCGAAAGCAACTTTATAATAAATCGCGATTCTTTTTTTATCTATCACCTCGCATCCATCGAATCCTCTCTCTCTCTCGCTTGCTTAATTTCTGCAGTTATTCTCTTAAATTAACATAAAATTAAAAATATAATAAACAAAAGAAAGCAAGATGTGAAAAAATAATGTAAAATAGATATTTTCTCTTCGAATTTTCTATATAATCATTTTGTATCTAGCGTTTTTATTTCTTTATTACAAGATAAAAATAATTAAACCAAGTATAGCGTCATTTATGCGAATCATGGCGCCATCTGTAGCGAGCAAATTGAACGAACATTCTAAACCTTCACTTTTAACGTCCGTCGATAGGATCGTCGCAGGTATTTATTAACTGAGATATGAAATGAAAACAAATACATCTTTTATTTGCTTCTAACGTCTTTTTTTATTGAGTGACCTTTCTCAAAGAAAATTATTGTATTTTTGTAATTATTCCTCAATTTTACGAGTATAGGAAATTTTCGTGGTTCTGTAGCCTCCTGTGTTTACTGCAGTTTTTACAGAGGCTATATAGTCTTGACATTCGAGTTGAAAAGTGACGCGTTTAAAATTAAATTTACGGAATTTAATCGAAATTCTACGGATTGCAGGATTCTTTCGTTGACAGTCTCAGTAATATTGATGTGGATAACTAAACAAATTGCCGTCTTTTATTTCTGGAAAGTGTCGCATGCAGAATGCAGATAAGTGTCTTAACACTCTTAACGAATGAAAAATTAGTTAACTTTCAATAAACATCACGAGTGATTAAGAATCCGGTCACTTAATGTGACCGAGGATTAATTATCGCATTAATCGATGAAGCTGCTTGTCTAAAAGAATACGTGTAAATATTATTCAACTTAGCACTGTTTTTTTAATTTTCTTTATAAAAGCTATGACGGGTACGATTAACCCTTGAAAAAAATCACATTACAGAATTACATAACGAAATCATGTAATCAAAACAAGTAAGTCACATAACGGATTATTGTTTCAAATCAATACGTGTGATTTTTTTAAATCATCACATAATTGGAAAAATTACATAATATTAGAAATAATTTTATTTATCATATGATTTTATAGTTACATCAAATTTTAAATGATTAAATAATAAAAATAGAAGAAAAAATATATTGTCTTGTGACTTTCCAAATTGTGTAATTTTGAAAAATCATATATTGATTTGGTACAATTAGTTACGTGATTTACATATTTTAATTACACGATTTCGTTATGTAACTTTGTGATGTAATTTTTTTCAATAGGGAGTTCATTCGTCATCGAGATATTCGTTAGATGCTATTAATCCTTAAATTATATCACATCATTAGTGTTATTTATTATTCTTTTATAAAAATTTATTTATGAATAAAAATAAATTACAAAGTAGCATTCATACATCGATTCTTTATCATTAATTAATTGTATCAAATCAAATCGATACAGAATCTATATAGTACTCGATAATATTAACAAAAAATATTGCAAAATTTAAACACATATATGAATTTAGAATTCACAAATTCGTTTTTTTCTACAGAGAATAAAAATAAATCGTCTGTAAACAAAAAATATTATATTAGTAAAATATAAGAAATTACAAGTCCAAATAATTCACCTTGTAAGCATATTAGAAAGAATTATATTATAATATCTTTTTCAATTTTTCAGGGCTTATATTTCTTTGGCATGGTAAAAAAAAGCTGCATTCGAAAAATGGAAAAGAAAATGAGAAGAGCAAGGGTGAAAGTAGAATGAAGGAAGAATGTTTTCACTGTTTATCTTAAAAGATAGAGGCTGAACTGCTGGAGACATTCGCGGAGGAGGCGGAGGAAGAACGCGTCGACATAAAGACGCCGGGTACGTTCTGTCGTGCAGTCAGTCACAGCTTGAAAATCGCGGGTGACTTGCGCCCCGCTAAAATCAATGAACACGTTCAGCAACGAGGCCGTCGACGACAGCAGCGCGACTTGTCAGCCGTGCGACGCCAGCATCCGCGTCGTGGGTGCTGCCGCTTGGCCCGGCTTGTTTCGTCGTACTCTCGACACCATTCTCCGCGGCACGTACGAGCCGTTTTTACGTTGGTGCGACGTGGATCATGTAAGTGCACGAGACGGCAAAATGCCGTCGTCAGGCCGCGAAGACATGGATCTCTGCACCGACAAGGTCCTCTCCAAGAGCCGGATCTTGCAAGAACTCACGAAGGCTGTCAAACTGGTGAGTGACTGCGATTATCGTCGAGTCCATCAAGGCCGCCTTCCTATACGTGTACATGTCCGCTGCTTTTATTGCCGCATGCCGTACACAAGCTTGGCGAATTGTGCAACTGCAGCGATCCTTACATGCCTTTCCCTTCTCTTGAAAGCATGGGTACCTCCTGCTGCCTCCTGCACCTAAGAGCGCTAATCGAACTAATGTAATTAATGATAGCAGTCGTGCGCCTTGGACACTACGCGGAGAAATCGAGATTATTCTTGTATAATCTCGACGAGTTTGATCTTAGATGTTTATAAACACGAGAAATGTGTCTTATTAGGTTAATTATAGTCTCGTCAGTCTTGTGGGACAGATATAGAGAACACTTTCGCGTAACTATGACATCGAAGTCTATACTCGGTGACGTTGCACCGGTCTGTCATTCCTGACCTAGTGCCAATCGTTGCATATTTCCGTCGCCAGAAAAATGAAAGTGGAGATTATTTTACAGCACCAAGATCAAAATTTGTTGATATTTGATTATATCAAGTTGCAATTTTTGAATGTCATTTCAATATCCACTTCTGTTAATGTAGTTTAATTACATGCAATGACCTTTTATCACACCATAGGTCACTTTATCACACCATTTGTGTTTCAAGTTAATTTTCGACACTTATAAGTATACAAAAATTATTGAATTATTCTTACATATACTTTAACATTTTTAGAAAGTATTTATAAGATTGTGTATTTTAAAAATAAAAATTGCATATAAGTGTTATAACTAATTAATTAATACGCCTAGTTAAAAAAAAAATAAAGAAATTTGCAGAACCCAATTTTCCGGTCTTTTATTACATATCACGAATCATTCGTGTCCCGGATTATTTTCAACACAATTGTACAAAAATTATTAAGTAATTCTTGCACATACGTTTTTAGAAAGATTTGTAAAATTGTGCAATTGTAAAAAAAAAAGTAGGAAATAATAGAAACCATTATTTAACCAAGTATTCCTGGTATTTCAAAAAGAAATTTAATTACATAAGACACAAATAACATAATTGTATGTACTAAAAATTAATTTTAATCTCTATTTAACTTGTCTACCTATTATATCTTCTTTTAGTACTAAGAATTAAAACAAGATAAAATGTTAATCTAGATTAGTAAAAATATTATATTCTCGTTTTATATTCTCGTTTCAATGTAAATTAACTTGAATCTGTTTAACTTACTTCTTCTAGTTTTAAGAATTAGAAAAAGATAACGAGTGAATTAAACCGAGGTTAAAGTTAATATATATTGGTAGAAATAGGCCAGAATCTGGAATTAAAAATAAAAAATTTTTAATATTGAACTCGATGTATATAACTGCTTTTTGCACGTGTATATTTTTATTACACAGACTTTCTCACGAATTGTTTTATCGTGACAAACAGTCCAAAATAAGGCGTGCACGTACACCGCAATTACTCTTATTATTTTTGCATACCATTCAACAGCATCTCCGATTTGGAACGTTTCGGGGCCCATTCAATTCTGTTCCAATTTGATTAAAAATTGATCTAGAAATTTAGTATGAAATGAATGGACTTTTGTGTTATTTTAGAAAATGTGACAAAAACTAGGCAAAAATGTTCGATAAATCTGTTGAAAGCTACACTCAATGATCCATAAAAAAAAGAAGAGCTCGTGAATAAAAAAATTAGGCTACAAATGATCAAAATGGAGATGAAGTTTATTTCGTTTTTCTCACACATTGCGCCCGTGAAAAGGGAGAAGCGGAGTGTCCACACGTGTTAAGGAAATGTGTACATACATATATCATTACAAAGTTACTTTTTTCTTTTTTTTTTTTTAGAAAAAGGTAAAAAAGAAACGAACAAAAGCGATACACGTGTTCCTTGAAAAATAGTTGTTTCGGAGTATGTATATGTATTGTCGGGAGATATACATATATGTATATGCGTGTGACGTCGCAACCTGCCTGCTCGTGAGTTAATAGCGACGCAGCAGCTCCAAATCGAACGCTCGTACACAGAGAAAAGAGTGCTCGATCGCAACGTGTGAGCACTCCTTAGTCTTCCGATGTCGCACCGTTTATATCTTTAAACGCGAGATTTTT